GCATTCTGGCTGCATTGAGGACTGTAAACTGAGAACAACACGGTTCTGTTCACAGGAGCCTATAGTCAGGCCAGGGGCTTCCACCCAGGCTGCACAGTAGAACTACAGGGGATGGGCTCCACCCCAGAGGTTCTCGTTGGGTTGGTCTGGAGTGTGGGCCAGACACTGGCGTTTGTCTCAGTTTTTCAAAGCCCTGCAGGTGATTGTGAGGAGGAATGCTGAATTCACGGTGAAGAGATCAGGAAATATGGATGTAGAGGGAAACTAAGAAACCAGTTTCGTTCCTTCTCTGCTGGGGAACCATGGGGTGGGGTTGTGAGATACCCTGGATTCTAAGGACCGCGGTATCTTCCTCATTACCACACCAATGGATTAGAGCCCAGGCCGTAATTTAGATTCGACCATTGAAACTGTGCTAAACCACAGTTTGCAGTGTAGGTAAAATTGGATTGATTTTATCTTCCTTTAGAGAACTTAATTCTTATCCCTATTACCTGAATAAAAATATGCCTTGGAAATACTGCATTTTGGGGTTTCATGGACTTCTTTGTACTCCTGTAGGTTTAAAAAGCAATGTGGTAATTTTATGTCATGGATTTATTTCCAGAGGATGTCTACAGTGGCTTTTGCTTCCTGCGCAACGTTTTTTCAGATGAGTTCATCTTCCTTCCAGGAAATGCACTGAAGGTAAAGTCCTTACAACAAAGAGCAGACATGTTTGCAGTGTGAGCTCTGAAAACGCTAGGTGTGGACTCCCAGACGTGGGTCAGGCAGTGCCATCCATCCCTTCAACTGAGTGGGACAGACCTAAGGGGAAACTGGGACACCCACACTTCAGCAGACCACTGTGATTCTTGGTCACGTTTCACTAATAACTTAGGGTTTATCTGGTTAGAGATCATCCTTTGAACCATTAGTGCAGCCACTAGAAGTAACTAACTCTGTTTTAGGAAATGTAAAAGTCGGCATACGTTTTCCTGTTAACAGCTTGTTGAAAGGATGCTGCCTGGCAGGTACCTTTGCTTGGAGAGTAGTGAGTCACAGCCTTGCCTGGCAGCACAGACAGTCGAGGAGTGGTCAGGCTCCCGTATTAGTCCATTTTGTGTTGCTAGAACAGGGTACCTGAGACTGAGTAATTTATAAAGAACGCAGGCTTATTTTGGCTCATGATTCTGGGACAGCTGCCTCTGACACGGGCCTCAGGCTGCTTCTACTCATGGTGGAAAGTGGCAGGGAGCCAGCGGGTACAAGCAGATCACATGGCGAGAGGAAGTAAGAGAGAGAGGAGGTGCCAGCATCTTTTAAGCATCCAGTTCTCGTGGGAACTAATAGAGCGAGAACTCACTCATTACCTCCACCCCCCGGGGACAGCATTAATCCATTCATGAGGGATCCACCCCCGTAACCCAAACAGTTCCCAACACTGCCACATTACACTGCCACATTGGGGGTGAGATTTCCAGAGTTTCCCATGGGCTGGGGCAGGAAAGTCAGTGTAGACGAGAGGTGGGCAAGGCTTCCATGTGCTGTGCTACGGAGAACACGTTTCACCCTGTCGAGGTGGGGGCAGGGAGCCAGAGGTTTTTGAGCATACACGTAATTCTGAGTATCTTTAGGACTTGCTATGGCACTTCCTGTTTAAATTTAAGGAGTGTGGCTATGCAAAGAGAAGGAAAGTCCGCCTGCTAGGTTGTGTTTCTTTGTTTTTTGTGTGTGTGTGTGACCAGTAAGGGGATGCAACCCTTGGCGTGATGTCGCCCACACTGTGCTCAGCCAGTGAGTGCACCAGCCAACCTTATATAGGATCCAAACCCGCGGTGGGAGCACCGCTGCGCTCCCAAGCGCTGCACTCTCCCGAGTGTGCCACGGGGCTGGCCCTCAGATGTGACTTTGAAAAAGATTACCTTCACATGTCACATACAATTGAACAGCTAATCCTGACTATAGGTGTAACAAATACTATGTATCGAGACAGTGATGTCAACCGCATCTCGCTCAGCCAGTGAGCAGCCGGTCTGTATGTGGGATCCGAACCCTCAGCGGGAGCGCCACCACGCTCCCAAGTGGCGCACTGTAGCAGTGCGCCGCCGGGCCGGCCCCCTAAGTTGTGTTTCTAAGGCTCGTAAATGTTTGTGTGTCTGCTGTGCTTGAGCTGCAGTATCGTGAGTGTTAGAACAGTGCTTCTCTGGCTACTGTCTAACGGCCGGAGTTGCTCCAGGAGGGTGGTGGAGTTGGCTGCTGTTCTCTCGTCCGAGGGCAGGTGGCTGCATGTGTTGAGATCTGCGGTGCACCTGCCCGTTAGCCTACATCAGTGGGTGCCTACGGCTTCTCCTCCCCCTTCCAGGACTTCGAAGAAGGCTGTTACCTGCTTTGTAAAAGCCAGGCCATACAAGTGACGACGAGGGACATCCTAGTTACAGAGAAAGGAAATACTGTGTTAGAATTTTTAATAGGACTCTTTAAACCTTTTGTGGAATGTTACCAGGTATGTGAACGTGGCAAGCTCTCCTTCATGCTTCCCATGTCATATTTAATAAGACTTTCCCACCTTGTGCTTATTTCTGGCCTGAAGGGCAAGTATTTTCCCCAGGTAAGTGGCAGAACTAGAGAGACTGATTAGTACGATGAATGGTTTTACCTCTCAAGGTGAGAGCTTGCTCCCTGCATACAGGAGGCGGCTTGATCCATTCCAGACCCGAGAGGATGAAGGCTTAGGCACTCAGTGATGCGGGAGTCAGTGACGTGTGAAGTCAGTTGTTTACATGACTAACTGCTGATGTTGCAAGGGAAAAGAGGAGCCCCAGCAGGAACATCTGGAGGAGTTTGTCCGGGCAAGCCAGGGTGTGGTGTATACGCAAACCATGGGGGTGGGGGCACGCACACATTTGAGAGAAGAGGGTTCTGTGGCTCTCAGCTCTGCTCGTGCACACGCCGGTCACAGGCACCAGGACCGACGTCCCGGCAGAGTGGTGCCTGCGGTCCTTGAGCTAACCCACGCCTGCCGTCTTGCACGGAGCCTAGCACTAGAGAGCGCTTGGTAAGTGACCGTTCCACAGGAGAGACCGACAAGTGTTTTAGGGCCTAGCGCTTTGTTCGGTGTACTTAGAGAAAGAAACAGTTACAGAAATCTGGCCCCTCTCTTCTCAAGTCACACAAGATGTATTAAGCTGATAGTGATTAACTTGCAACCCGTTAAAATGAGAATTATACTTTAAAAAATGTTAAAATTATTTCAAAGTCTTTTTTATTGTTATTACAAAAAGTAACATAACCTCAAAAGAGATGTTCTGAAAATTCTTCCGCTTTTCTTTACGCAAACCTTGGAGGGTCTTTACTGTGTTCTGCTGTGATGTGTCATTCTCTCGAGAGGGCAGCATGAAGTTATCTAATGTTCTCTTGTATTTGGCTGCCCTTTTCCTCTTCTCATTCTCCGTTTTAAAATCAGATCATTTGCAAATACCTCTTGAGA